GCAAACGTTTGCCGTAGTAGACTTGGCGAAGACAACCACACAGACCCACGTTCCGTAAGCGGAACACCAAGGCCAGATTTGCTTCGTCTCTGTTGCATGTTAACACATAGGTTCGGGCGAGTTGGTTGCTCACGATGTACAGGGGGAACAGCGCACCCGGAGAACAGTCATTCAAATCAACATACACACAAAAGAAAGAAACACTTACTCAGCGCTGACTGACAACTCTCTAGGGGATCAGTGGCCGCAATAAAGAAAAAAAAAAAAAATCAGTGGCCGAGTGGTCTAGCGCACACCAGCTCGGAGCACGTGGAGCGAAAGCTCGCGCTGCAGAACCCAGGGATCCTGGGTTCGAGCCCCACCCCTGCCCGTTTCGATCTGGATGAGCATCGTACCGGCGTGCGGTCGTGTATCAATACTGCGTGATGCACGTTAAAGACCCCAGGCTAGCGGCTGTACCGCACTGGCTAAATTTCTCATCTACAGCTGGGAGACTCGTCGCCCCTGTGAGGCAGACCAAGTTCTAGGCTGTATAAACACACACACAACCCAATTTTTTGACAACTCTATATTTACGCTTTCTCTTCTATTTGTGCTATATGCAAGGGCCAGGGAGAATAACTGGTCTTTTTTTCTTTTCTTTCGATATGATGCTAAATAGTGAACTAAATTGAAATTAATTTAAAGCTAGGTAGTCTAATTCTTTTTGTGACAAGGTTAAAGACGGAGTACTGACGCATGTGCCGTTATGTTTCGCAATGTTCTCTGCCTCGATAATTTCTCTTGTGAGCTTGTTGTGATGCTTGCCAAGCACGCCGCAGTTACTCAGCAGCACTGAGCAGCCACAGTCTCGACAGTGAATGCCTAGATGACCGGAGCTTTTGTTGGTGAATGTGTTGTTATGCTCTCGAAGGCGATCGTTCAGACACCTTCCGGTCTGACCTATGTACAGCTTTCCACAAGAGAGGGGAAAGGAATACACCACCTTTTCTGTACAAGGGACAAAGGTGTTCTTGTGCTTCTTTTTGCTGCCAACTGTTGTTATTGGTGGAGTATTTACTTTCTTGCATAAGCTGTGAAAATTGTTAGGAGCTGAGAAGATGACTTCCAAGTTTACTCGGTTAGCTATTTTCTTTAGTCCGCGAGAAAAATTATGAATATATGGCACAATGATGGGCTTCTTTGTTTTGTCTCTTTGCTTTTGTAGTGTGCATAGGTCTTGCCTGCTTTCGTTGATGAGCTTTTCGGCCATTGATGTTAATAAGGAGTTTGGGTATCCTGCGCGCTCTAGTCTTGAAGCTTGCCCTTCAAAGCTCGCTGGAATGGAATGCGAGCAGGATTTTACGAGTGAGTTTTGAGGCATAACCGCACGATGCTTCTTTTAACAAATTTTGAATGGGCCGAGTTGAATGGTAAGAGCGGGTTTTTTCCCCTGGGCTCATACGACCAGCATAAATGGTAGGGTAACATGAGGAGTCTGAGATCCAGGAATCTTAAAGAGCGCTCGTTTGGAAGTTCATGGGTGATTTCCAAAGGACTCATGCACATTTTAAAACTGTCGAGGACGTCAGCAACCATGCTGGTGAAGTTGCGATCGTCTGAAGCTAAAACAATTAAATAATCGTCGACGTACCGGAACACTCTTATAACTTTGGAGGTGTCTAATGATTCTTTTATCTTCCTGTTGTTGTGCGCTAGATAGAGATCGCTAAGGACAGGGGCAATGCAGGACCCGATGCAGACACCTCTCTTCTGTAGGTATGGTTGGCAATCCCAGCTAGCAAAGGTCGACCTGAGGTAGATGTTAATCAAGGTCAAAAACTTGCTTTGGGATAAGCCCGACGCATTTTGGAAGACAATAGCACCGAAGGTGTCTATGCTGTCCTCTATGTACCTTAGAAGGCGGTCGTGGGGCAAGGAATATTACAGATCCTTAATGTCGATGGAGAACACCTTTAGGTCTTGGTCACGATGCTCTTCTAAAAAGTTGAAAACTTCGAAGGAGCTGCGGATCAGGTATGGATCATCAATGTTAAGTAGGTTTAGTTGTGTTAGGAGAAATAAGGCAACAGACTTTTGCCATGTCCCCCTTTCAGAAACGATAACCCGGAGGGGGCAATCCGCTTTGTGAGTTTTGGCGCTGAAAAATAATTCTAGACTCAGATTTTTACTGCGATCAATGTAGGAGCAGAGTTGTTTTAAATCGTTCAAGTGACAAAATTGTTTTGCTTCCCTTTTAACTTTTTCCAGGGAGATCTCGGTGTGCTTGCTGAAAACGGATTCGGCTGCTGTTAATGCTTTTTCTCCAAACGTGTCCGAATGCATGAGGACAAAACCTCCCTCTTTGTCCGCGGGCAGAAGATATAATGAATTCTCTTTCAGGTACGTTTCTACTCTCTTGATGCACAACGTACCTGAAAGAGAAATTATTATATCTTCTGCCCGCGGACAAAGAGGGAGGTTTTGTCCTCATGCATTCGGACACGTTTGGAGAAAAAGCATTAACAGCAGTCGAATCCGTTTTCAGCTAGCACTCCGCGATCTCCCTGGAAAAAGTTAAAAGGGAAGCAAAACAATTTTGTCACTAATGATTTAAAACAACCCTGCTCCTACATCGATCGCAGTAAAAATCTGAGTCTAGAATTATTTTTCAGCGCCAAAACTTATAAAGCGGATTGCCCCCTCCGGGTTATCGTTTCTGAAAGGGGGACATGGCAAAAGTCTGTTGCCTTATTTCTCCTAACACAACTAAACCTACTTCACATTAATGATCCATACCTGATCCGCAGCTCCTTTGAAGTTTTCAACTTTTTAGAAGAGCATCGTGACCGAGACCTAAAGGTGTTCTCCATCGACATTAAGGATCTGTACTATTCCTTGCCCCACGACCGCCTCCTAAGGTACATAGAGGACAGCATAGACACCTTCGGTGCTATTGCCTTTCAAAATGCGTCGGGCTTATCCCAAAGCAAGTTTTTGACCTTGATTAACATCTACCTCAGGTCGACCGTTGCTACCTGGGATTGCCAACCATACCTACAGAAGAGAGGTGTCTGCATCGGGTCCTGCATTGCCCCTGTCCTTAGCGATCTCTATCTAGCGCACAACGACAGGAAGATAAAAGAATCATTAGACACCTCCAAAGTTATAAGAGTGTTCCGGTACGTCGACGATTATTTAATTGTTTTAGCTTCAGACCATCGCAACTTCACCAGCATGGTTGCTGACGTCCTCGACAGTTTTAAAATGTGCATGAGTCCTTTGGAAATCACCCATGAACTTCCAAACGAGCGCTCTTTAAGATTCCTGGATCTCAGACTCTTCATGTTACACTACCATTTATGCTGGTCGTATGAGCCCAGGGAAAAAAAACCGCTCTTACCATTCAACTCGGCCCATTCAAAACTTGTGAAAAGAAGCATCGTGCGGTTATGCCTCAAAAACTCACTCATAAAATCCTGCTCGCATTCCATTCCAGCGAGCTTTGACGGGCAAGTTTCAAGACTAAAGCGCGCAGGATACCCAAACTCCTTATTAACATCAGTGGCCGAAAAGCTCATCAACGAAAGCAGACAAGACCTATGCACACAACAAAAGCAAAGAGACAAAACAAAGAAGCCCATCATTTTGCCATATATTCATAATTTTTCTCACGGAATAAAGAAAATAGCTAACCGAGTAAACTTGGAAGTCATCTTCTCAGCTCCTAACAAACTTCACAGCTTATGCAAGAAGGTAAATACTCCACCAATAACCACAGTTGGCTGCAAAAAGAAGCACAAGAACACCTTTGTCCCTTGTACAGAAAGGTGGTGTATTCGTTTCCCCTCTCTTGTGGAAAGCTGTACATAGGTCAGACCGGAAAGTGTCTGAACGATCGCCTTCGAGAGCATAACAACACATTCACCAACAAAATCTCCGGTCATCTAGGCATTCACTGTTGAGACTGTGGCTGCTCAGTGCTGCTGAGTAACTGCGGCGTGCTTGGCAAGCATCACAAGCTCACAAGAGAAATTATCGAGGCAGAGAACATTGCGAAACATAACGGCACATGCGTCAGTACTCCGTCTTTAACCTTGTCACAAAAAGAATTAGACTACCTAGCTTTAAATTAATTTCAATTTAGTTCACTATTTATCATCATATCGAAAGAAAAAAAAAAGACCAGTTATTCTCCCTGGTCCTTGCATATAGCACAAATAGAAGAAGAGAAAGTGTAAATATAGAGAGTTGTCAGTCAGCGCTGAGTAAGTGTTTCTTTCTTTTGTGTGTATGTTGATTTGAATGACTGTTCTCCGGGTGCGCTGTTCCCCCTGTACATCTCTGTTGCAGTTAATTATTGACGAATCCAGCGAAATTGACGACACCTAAGGGCTCGAACTAGGGTGCCTTCATGTGCGCTTTGCTTAGGGCGGTGGCATCTCGCCATTTTGTCTCACACGTTTTGTTCAGAAGCGCGTGAAAGAGCGTGGCCCTGCACGCGTTTGTGGCGTTGACTGTATTTTGGCGACATTTTGTTTTCGTTGATTTCTTTGTATTTTCCCCGTGAGCGCGCGCTGTCGGCATCGGGTACTACAAAGGGTGGCATCACCCTAAACAGAAGGACATTGAGGCACCCTAGATCGAACAGAAAGCTGTGGCGGCAGGTTCGCTCTCCAGCCTTCTCGAGCGAATCAGATATTCACAGCGCCTGGCTGCATAAAGACGAAGCTGTTAAAGTAGGTTCAATACCGCGTGGTGAAAATTGCCAATAGTCGGTGACAGGTTAAAGGTTCAGGAGAAGCTCCTTCCCACCTCTTTCCAGTTTAGCAAAGCAAACGCTGTAGAGGAGGTGTTCACTTTACCAGCGTTCGCTCTGAAACTTTGGCATCTGGTCGGAATTCACTGTTACTAAAAAATTTTTTTTTTTCACGCATGTCTTTACATATTATATATGTCGTATACGCGAGCCGCAAAATGTGATTTCGAAAGACTTTGATCAGCTTGATGTGGATTCGCAGGAGCATCTAGCCATTTCCGACCTGGAGGATCAACAAAACAGGAATGCCAAGATTCGAGAGCGAGTCGTCCTAGCCTTGAAGACCCTAGCATTCTTGCTCTACCACGGCTACCTCATAGCCGGCATCAAACTCACCTGGAACGAAACCGGAAGCTACTGCCACGACGTCAAGTTCCTTGTGGTTGTCACAGCAATTGTCTATATTTGCGTGATCTGGAAGATTGTCGCCTACACCTTCGACTACTTCCTGGAAGCTCGCTGGGACAACCTCAAAAGCAACCTGAAGGAAAGCATCTCGGCTAAGACGAAGCGTGGAATGTGAGTGAAGGCTGTATATTACTTAATATGCTTCGTGTGTCATGCCCTGGTGTTTCTACGGCGAAAGACTGAGAGAAAGGAGGAGATGAAAGCTCGCGTGAACGTCTCAGCGCCATGCTCCGGTTGGCCTTGCGCTTACTCACTGTCTCCCTCTAATCAGAGGAAACAATAGAGCGCCACCTGCACTCCGCGCACTGTATCACGTTAGAACGTCGGACGCCGGCGTTCGAACAGTGAGTAGGGGCAAAGGCAACTAGCCTTTGCGTCTACCTATCACCTTTCCAATCAGGCCTCCGCGCTCTGACGTCATCGCACGCTCTCATCTCTTCCTCAGTTTGTCTCCGTATAGACGTTTGCAGGTACGACCTCTGGGCGACGGGGCCATCTTGCTGCTGGTGTGGGTATAGCTATAGATCGTCTGATAGTCAAGCATTTCTGAGGCCGTGGATACACTTCAGCAACGCCGGACTAACAGGTGATCTGCCCACACCAGCAGCAAGCTGGCGGTGCCAAAAGCCGTACTCGCAAACGTCTATAGGCAGGATCGCGTGCTTCGATGAAATGGCTGGGTGTACTTGGTTATTTTTTTTAACAAAGGTAAGGAGGCAGTAAGCCGTATTCCACTGATCTTCATTGTTCTCAGGGTTGGGCAGAAATATAAAAACAAATGTATTTTGGAATTAGAAATACTGGGATACATTAAAATAGTAGCTACAATACTGATACTGAAATATATCTGTAAAAGTGTGTCGCGATACGTATCGGAAATACATTTTAAAAACAGGCAAAAAGTCTTTGGAAATACAAATACAGGAACACATTTTACGAAGGGCAGAATTATAAATAAAGAAATATTGATTCTGCAATACATTTTTAAAATTTGTTTGAGACAGAAACTGAGATGAAGCTTGAAGTTTGAAGTGGGAGTTCTTGATCAGGAAGTACTTTCCCGTAGGTTCGGCACTTTTCCTTGAAGTTAGTGGTTTTGGACAACAAGGAGCCTACACTGGGCTCAAAAAAACGTTCCATCAAGTACTGACCGCGGTCCCTTCTCTGCCATCCGGTCTGTCTGACGAGGGATGCGACAAGTCTTCGATCACTAGATAAATTTAATGCCAGCCTAAATCCCATTAAAACGTCACCACGCCCCTGTCCAATAAGCACGCCATGTCAAGATTGATCACATGACGTCACGGTGGAATGAACTGGTATTTTTATCTGTAGGTGTGGCCTTGAAAATGAAACTTTACGACGATGCTGTCTGAAAGGACAATACGTACTTTCCTTGTAGGTCACCTCGTTGAAGATCGTGCGGGCAGTGTCATTTGGAATTTTTGAGAATAGTAGACCACCAGAAGCATCCAGGAACACACGTCTTATCTTTTGTTACGGTTGAAAAAACGATACGGTGGCATCCCTGTTCTGAAGGTCCTTCCTGCCGACCCCCCGCCACCGACGCATGGATTTCAGTCCTAAAGTTTCGCCTAGCATCATCCAAACAGAGACCTCGTGGATCGCGACCTGATATTGCCGGCACAGGTGCGAGCTCTTCGAGAAACGGCGCGCTCGAGACGAGTCGCACGTGTACGAAGTCTGGGTCGGCGCAGCGAGGCCACGTCTAGCCTCCTTTCTGGGTTTCAGATGACCAGAGCAGCGGTTCACGTTTACGTCAGCTGATGACGTACCCTTGAGCCGTGCAATATTACAGGGGCAGCCGCGGATGCTTTCGAATATGTGTTGAACTTTACTGCGTGAGTCATCCTTCTATTTCTAGTCTACCCCCACCAGGCTCGCGTTGCAACGTACTGCGACTCAGCTTTGCCCGGCTGGGTGTACTGTATACGCTAAGGCAAGAGAGACGGTTAGCAGTGGGCATTGGATGCCAGCAAACAATGACTCAAGAAATCCATACCTAAGGACTTGCGGCAGAAGATGCTCTGACTCCACTCCTGGCACGCCACCAGGCACGAGTCCCAGACTACGCAACACTTCTCACAAAAGAGAAAAGGATTCATAGAAAAATAGTTTGGAGAATCAGAAGGAACCCTGCTCAGCATAGTAACAATGCCCCAGAAGTTCCTTGACCCTGGTGCCCTCAGAAGTAAAAAGAAAAAAAAAAAGAAATATTCGGACTTGTTTTTCTTTCGAAGGGGGGGGAATGTTTCTCGAGAAATGTAACGACATACATTTCATCCTGATTGTATCGTGATACAATGAAACATTCTAAATGTATTTTTATATAGGAATAGAGGTATTGGTGAAAAAATGTATCGCGATACAGAAATACAGATACGAAATGTATTTCTGAAATACTATCGCGATACTGCCCAACCCGGACTGCTCTCATTATTCTTCAACGGTGTGCCCTCGCAAGGCGTCTAATCCACATCTCCTATAGATTAGTCTTTCTTATTTTCTTATTTTCGGGATTTTGCTCAAAGGCACGTCGTATTCATTAAAGACCGTAAATTCTGCAGTCAAAACAAGCTTCCCAATATACTTCCTGTCACCGGCGATAGTTCTTTATAAATGTTCGCTCTTACCACTTTGGACGCCCAAATATAATACATAATTATCTAATAACCCACGATATAAAGACAATTTGTTTGTTGTTACTAGAATTTCGCGTTGTCGTTATTCCTTGCATTTCTACCGTCAAGGGTTGGTCCGTGAGAGAAACTGCAAATGACTGTCGCGAAAAATAATGCGCCACCGTGTCCCACTTTACAGTCGTCGACAGCTCACCAAATGCAGGGTGTGGCTTATGATGTCCACGCATCTCCCTCCGTGATTGGTTCTTTGACCTTGCTATCGGCTAATGGCGCACTCCCATAGGCTGCTGAGCGATAGTGAGGCTCACGGGACTCGCCACGCCCTGCATTTCTTAAGCTGTTGGTGGCAATGAGCGGAATATACATCTACATTTTGTAACCTTGTTTCCATTGGTTTTCGAGCACGGAGCCTCGTTTACGGCACGTGACGAATCTTTTACTAAGGGCTTTGTGCCTCATTTTGGTGTGTGCAAAAAGTGACGGTTTGGAGTAGAGCGTGTCCCCCTCCCCGTCTCAAAAAAAAATAATATATATATGTATATATATATAAACGAATATGTGCAGAAGAATGAACCGTACTTAATCCAATGAAATAAAGAATCAAAGTTTTCAGGAACCCGCCGAAAGCCAAAAAACGGCGGAGCCAGGATATGAACTCTGGGCCTCCCAATGTCCGGTCGGGTGTGCTAACCTCTACACCACTCCACCTTGGCTTTCTGGCGTTTCCTACCTGTCTTATTAATGCACAAGAAACGAAATGTATCGAATCGGAGGTGTTCTGGAAACACACGCCGCCGCGAGGAACGCGGTACGACGCTTAGTGTCACGTGGTACGTGCTCGTTTGTGCTGCAGAAATCCTCGCACTGTTTGTCTCGCCCCGTGTACATGAAGTAGTATTCTTTGTTTATGAGCTTGAGAGACACAGTATCATCATCATCTGCGAGAATCAAGAGCCACGTTATTGAATATACAACACGGGCACTTCACACCAGCGTACGTGGTCTCCGAGGAGGATATAAACGAATATGTGCAGAAGAATGAACCGTACTTAATCCAATGAAATAAAGAATCAAAGTTTTCAGGAACCCGCCGAAAGCCAAAAAACGGCGGAGCCAGGATATGAACTCTGGGCCTCCCAATGTCCGGTCGGGTGTGCTAACCTCTACACCACTCCACCTTGGCTTTCTGGCGTTTCCTACCTGTCTTATTAATGCACAAGAAACGAAATGTATCGAATCGGAGGTGTTCTGGACACACACGCCGCCGCGAGGAACGCGGTACGACGCTTAGGCTGTGTTCCAAAATTTACTCGATCCGACTCCGGAGTAAAAGTTTCGTACCGTGGCGTTCCAAAACTTACTCGAGCTTACTCGATGACGTCAGAACTCGCGTTCGTTCCAGAAGCGGGTTGTTTACTCCGGAGCAATTACTCGCGCTACCCTCCTCGATCGGGGGGTAAAGTCGGATCAAATCGAGTAAATACGTCACGTGATCTGTTCGTCGTCTGCTTTCTGCACCGACAGCCGTCAAAGCTCGCTTGCTCCGTTGGTTTTGGTGGCGGACGTTCGAAATGACAAAGAATTAGGTGCAGCATGTGTGATTATTGCGATCTGCTGTTGTCAACGCAGGAATTGACTGCATTACATCCAGACCGTCCACCTTCCCCGGGAACGTGTACTTGTTATTATCTGAGTGCGAGCGTAAACAGGAGCTTCTCCGCATCCTCGTCCTCGGCGTTGGGGGAATGCCGTAATCTCACGTTCAAGGCCAAAAATGTTTGAACTCGGTATATGATAATGTAATATTTTTGTTTCCTCCAGAGTGTGTGTAATGAGAGGATAACGTTTGTAAAGCAGTGAAGGCTTCGAAAATATCACTGTAATCACATTCGCGTCAAAGCGAACGTGAGTTTTATATCATTCTGGGGAAAGCACCCTCGCGCTGTACCGCTACACCGTGTGGAATATATTTCTGCAAAACATAATCGGTGCAAATTACAATGCGTGGAATATATGCGTTTAGGGCTCCGTGACTAGAATTGCAGCGATCGCGCTGATTAATAAAAACACATTTTTTTTATGTCTAGCTGTAAGGAGTAAGTAATTTTGATCTCAATATACAGCTCAAAACGAAGGTGAGTAAAAGGAGCTGGTGGATCCACCTCAAAATACACCGCGTCGTCATTAACATTACCGTTCTTCGGGTGCTTTCTCCATGATCAATAGGATCGTCTGCTATTTTCTGCCATCGTTGCTGTTTTTTTTTCCGTCGCCCAAGACGAAGCCAATCCGCGTAGTATCCAGGTGATTATTCTGGCCGTTCCAAAATCGAGTCGCGGATCGTTTACTCGCGATGTCACGTGGTATTACCCGCTGACGTAGGAGGCAGGTTACTCGGGTAAGATTTGGAACATAGCCTTAGTGTCACGTGGTACGTGCTCGTTTGTG